CCCCGGACAGTGTGAGCAAGTCACCTTCTTTGTCACTGCAGTTCACCAGCATCAGTTTGCACAAAGTTCTTAAGTATTTCCCTTAGCTGTGCCCTGACATTCTTCAGGTGTCTTGCAGTTGAAAAATATTTGCTTTTCCAGAAAATGTTTGCAAAATGAAAATATTTGCTTCCCTAGTAGCAATAAACCATTGCTTAGGTATGGTAAGCACCCAGTCCAAGCCTGCAACTAATTCCAAATAGGGCTCAGTCACAGCCCGGCGCTAACTATATGATTTGGACTAGTGTAATTTTGCACTTAGTATTTCCTCTGAATAATTCAGATGAGATAGCCCATTCATACACAGAGTTTTCTCAAAACACTATTGAGCAGGTCCTCAAACGATGTCATTTTGTTCAATACCGCTTTATGAGATGCCATGGGGACTTAACTTTTTTTAAGGTTTTAAAATTGATTTTTAGAGAGAGAGGAAGGGAACGAAGAGAGAAACATTGATGCAAGAGTGAGACATCAATCGGCTGCCCAGGCAGAGCCCACAACCTGGGCATGTGCCCTGACCGGAATCAAACCAGCAAACTTTTGGTGTATGGGATGACACCCAGCCAATTGAGCCACACTGGTGAGGGCAGAACTTAAGTCTTGTTTCTATCAATTAGCTTATGGTGAAATTAGTTTCCTTATACGTCGCTTCACTAAAGTTGTGGAGCCCATCAAAGATAAATGAGGACTTATTATACAGCTATTTCTTCCTCCAGCATCTTCCTTCTGTCCCCCTCCAAAAAGTTTTAGCTCCTGCATAACTGACATCCCCGTCTTGCAGACAGGTGACTTTGAAAAGAAGTTAAGGCTGTGTGGATAATGTCTAAGTTAGTACTATGTGCAGAAGTGATGGCGATTCTGTGGATGGGGAGCTACCAGGACTCACCCCCTCAGTGGCTCTAGTCTCAGCAACCCTGCTTTCCACAGACTAGTGTGCTAGAAATGGGTTACCGTGGAAACAGGGAGACTTTATTGCATCACAACACAGACCAATGTCTTGGGCGTCGGTTGCTCTGTCTGTAAGAGGAAAGAACGACATTCTGTGTTTGAAGACACTAGAAGCTAAGGGGATTTTATAACTAGTCTTTGATTCCTCTACCTAGTCAAAAAAGTTTTCCATTAAAACCCAAAGTGAATCTTCCTTTTGGAACTGAGAGGCCTCCCAACATAGAGGCCACTTCCTCCTTCTGCTGTCTCCCTGGCACTGGGACTGTAAGAGGGAGGCAAGGAGCCCAGTCCTCTAAGAGGGACAGAGGAAGATGTCATGAAGCTAGGAGGTAGAGTTTTTCAAGAAGAACTGGGCCTCCGTCTAGTTCCTCCCCCGCCACCCCAGTGCTCACACTCAGACCCAGTCTCTCTCAGCACCTCCGGGCCTGCCTGCCTAGAGAGATCAGTTCCGCAGCGATATCTGAACGCGTGCCAACAGCACGTGTTTATCTCTATGGTCAGCCCTTCCTGTTGGTGCTCAGGAGGCCTGGGGGGAGCCGCAGGGGGGTTGAGGTAATGGCTGTTGACAGCTACAAGGGTGGAAGCGTGAAGGCAATGGGGATATGCATAGACCCCACCCCTGGGAGGATGATGTGATGAGGTTTCCAGACTGTACGTGGCCATATGTTTCTTTCTTCACATCAGGATGAGATCCCCAGCTCTTCTCTTGCCAGTGGAGAGGGGATGGACACTGCCTCACTCAGGGATGGGTCTTTAAGAGCTGGGACTTGGTAGGTGGGGCCCTCCAGGTGGGGGCCATGGATCTGGAGCCAGGAGAATGGCAGTGTTTCCAGTGAGCTCTGTTGGGACACATCTGGTCCTGCCTCTCCCTTTGAGCTTAGTCATTGGTGCCAGGACCCTCAGGCTCTGGCAGTGGGACAGAGGGGGCCACCCTCCCTGACTAAGCTGGGCAAACCCCAAAAGTCTAACACCCTTAGGCACCATTTCCAGGAGCTGCACCATCTCCCGCAGGAAAAGGACCCTCCTTTCATGTATCCTCACCAGCAGGCAGCAAATGCTGAGATGCCTACTGAGGGTTCCACCTCGGGGTGGCTTTGAGAAAGGCTGTTCAAAACTAATCTCAAGACCTCTGATTTATTCCTCATTTTCAAGTGAGATAATCTCATCCGCCCTTGAAGTTGAGTTTTGGGGTGCAGGAGGGAGGAGGCTGACCATTTGATTTCTCTTCAGCAAAAATGGATCACCCTCCCCCCATCCTCAGCCCAGAAATATTTACCTATGTTTATGTAACCATGGCAACAGGCTTTATTCTCTATCACTTAAACCCTTTTAGAAAAGAAAGAAGGAGAAAAGTGGGAGGCGGCCATTTTCCCCACTCCTGCCTCCTGCTCTGCACAGATGACCTCTTCAGAAACAAGGTGAAAGAGCCCCAGAGCCCTGGGTGCGATGTTGGCCTTCTCAGAAGAAAGGGAGCAAGAAAGTTGCAGTGGCCCAGCATCATGGAGGGACTTCAGAGTTTGACAGTGCTTGTCCTCCAAAGTCCTGTGGGAACCACACAGTAATAGCACCTCTGACTTGTCTGGAACCTCTCTTTTGAGCACTGTACTGAGATTACAGTCATCGATTTTTTTCTTGCCATCTGCTTAAAAGTGGATGGATGGAATGAGACCTGGCTTTGCTGATGACATACACGTGGTCTCCAAGATGGATTCTTCTTGTCCTGGCTACTTCACAGAATACTGTCAAAGCAGAGCTGTGTGAGGAGGGTAAGTGTTAGAGCACATCGGTCTGAGCTAAGCAAGGGAAACCAAGGACAGTAGAAGGAAAGTATTTATGCAGGCATCCTGTGTTGTCAAGAGTATGTAAGACCTAACCAACCAGTCTTAAGTTCTTGCCATGAGATCATCCTTGTTCCTTGAAGCTTTGGTTGCAGCCATCCTCCTATCTTCCAAAAGGAGTCCAGTCCCTGAGCTCTCAGAGTTAGAGAAAACCCAAGCTTAAACTTGGCTCTGAAGACTATTTCAACTACAGACCCACACATGTTTTGTCAGTGTCACAGTGAGGGAAGCTCTATCCTCCAGTTGGGAATCCCCCTTCGGGGTCTTCTCCCGGTGGAAGGCTTACTCTCTGGACTGTATGTTAATGGCCGGTTCCTCTTTCTATCCCAACGCCATAGGGTTCAACTCCAGAACTGGTTCAGTGGGCTGGGGACAACAGCTCAGTCCTTGGAGGTGGCTCTCATTCTGAACACTCCACGGGTCACGTGAAAAGGAGCCCCATGGGATCTCAGCTCACAACTGCAAGGAAGCCAGGGCGAAGGGTGGAGGGCTGGCTGGGCGACCTCCGGGAGAACAGAATAAATGTAATTTCAGGCTCTCCCAGAGGGGGTTGGCAATGCCTGTGCACATCCTCAGCTCCAATCCGCGGGTGTTGGTTTTACCGACCCAAGGGAGCGCGGGCACCGAAAGCAGACTTCAGACCAGGCTGCGACCCACCTGCACCCCTTCTTTCTTCCCTCTATCCCTCTGCTGCGGTTGCCTCAGCTTCGTCCTCACCGGGCTCTCAGGACCAGGCCGCAACACGTGCGCGCGTCCACTGTCACTGAGGACCCGGGAGGCCACCTGACTGGACTCTGCGAAGTCTGCACGCCTGAAGATGTTCGTTTTTGTCCTCCTTCCCTCTCGGCTTCCAATAGCAAGCAGAAGCGGCGCTCTTTGCTGACACCGATCAGAATGATCGCCGCGCCTGCAGTCTCTCCGCGCCTTCTCTGGGGCCTTCGAGGCCTGTCTCGTTCAGAGACCCCAAATTCTGCCTGGGGCACACTTTCCCCGTTAATTACCCCGAAACAACACGTCGCTAATTGCCCTAATTACTCTCGGGCCGAGCCACACCGCCCCCCGCGGGCCAGGCCGGGTGGCGCTGCGCCTGGCGAGGAGAGGGAACTGCCGCCTCCGCGTGCGCAGAGGCCGGCGGGGTGGATCCGAGCTCGCTGGGGGCAGCGCCGGCGGCTCTGCGGCCTCTCTCGGGTTCATCTGCCGAGGCTCCACCGCCCAGGGCCTGGCTGGACCTCGCACACCACGGGGCCCCGGCGGTGCTTGTTGAAGAGAATCGAGCGTCTTTGAGTCCCTCTCCCTTCCCCAACTTTACAGAGCGTTTCCGGAGTTAGGATAACTTGAGGCCGCCTGGATACTGCTGAAAGTGGCCCCAACTATCACTCCGTTTTATGTTTTCTTAAAGAATCACTACCTGAAATTACCGGGGTTTGTTGTTGTTGTTCGCGTCTGTCTCATTCTTCTGCTGCCCCGCCCCCTATTCGTTCTTGAGAGCGGAGACCTTGCCGGTCCCATTCAGTGTCTCCAGACCTACAACCTGGCCGGAGCACAGCAGTCTTCAGTGTGCTCAATAAGCGGATAGACCGAGCGGCGGCTCCGCGGTCCCACCGACAAGGAGTGGGCTGGGAGGACCCTGCAGTAGGAGATAGGGGTGGAGTCACAGTTCCAGAGTCCACGGGGGCTGGGGGGCAAACAAACGAACAAAAAAAGAGCTGTTGAGCAGTAGAGGATAGAGGGTGTTCCTTTTCCCATCGGAGCCGGGTAAAGGGGGCTGACACCAAGGCGCTCCGTCTCTTTCTGAGACCGCTACCCAGTGCCCACTCAGAAGACGGTGTTCCCTCTGTATGACCACACGGGGCTCATGTGCTTTGTCGGCGGGCGTCGGTGCAGTCTGGCGTCACTATGCCACCCGCCATGCTGGCCAGCACCAGGTGTCCCCCGCTCAGCCTTCCCCGCAAGGACCCCTGCCGAGTGCAACCCCCGCAGTCAGGTCCACCAGTGGGCGCCCAGCCCGCGCCCCCCCTCGTGCGCTCTTCTGATTGGCTGAAGGCATTCCCCCTGAACGCTCATAGGCTGGCCGACTCTTGCCTCCGCCTCCGGCACGGGCGGCGGGGAAGCGGCTCCAAGTCTGGCTAGCTCCGCTCAGAGCTGCGAGAGGCGCGGATCTCCGGGTCCCCGGGTCCCCGAGCCCGCGGAGCGCGCGATTTCAGTGGTGCTGGTTTCCCACCCGGGACTCTCTGGTGGAGCCGAGCCCGGCAAATGGGCGCATGAGAAAAAAGAGCGGGGAAATGGACTGCTATTTGCGCCGCCTCAAACAGGAGCTGGTAAGAGAGAAGCAGACGCCAGAGCGGGCTGCGCCCCCGATGGGTACCTGGCCCCACCGGACCCCGGGAACCGGGACGCGTGCGGGAGGAGGAAGGCCAGGGAGGAGAGGGGTGACGCGCACCGGCAGGCGGAGGGCAGGGCCTGTCCCGTGGGAAAAGGGCCACGAGGAAACTTGAAGCAAAGATTGTGTGAGAGTGAGGCCACACAAACAAGTGACAGAGACCGAGCTAACCAAACCCAGACTGAAAGGTTCCAGGAAACCCTAGGGAGAAGAGGGCTCACACCGAGGCCGGCAGACGCACGGACGGGAGTGGGACTTTGACGCCGGGCACGGAAAGAGCGCGGGACGCTGTTGGGGGGCTGGTGAAAAAGGTGAAGGGATTAAGCAAAAAGAATGAAAAACTCATAGGCACAGGAAAAGAAAAAGGAACGAAAGAAAGAGCTTCTGAGCGATTCGGGACGCGCGGGGCGGGCGGGGCTCTGGGGAGGGGGAGCGAGCCAGGTCCCTGCCCGGGGCAGAAGGTCAGCCAGGGACTGGGCGCTCGAGGGGAGCTGGCACCGCCTGGGGCCCCCAACTCAGCCGGGCTTGGCAGAGCCGCCCCGGCTGCGGGGGCCCGCTGGGCCGGCTGTCTGCCCGGGCTTGTCTGCCAGCAGGGAGGGGGCTGGCAGCTGGAACGGCGGGGGAGGGCCCTGCCGGGAGGAGGGAACCGCCTGGCAGATCGCGAGCGGGAGCTGCGGAGGCCCAGCCAGATGTCAGGTCTGGGCTTGGGGTGTGCGGAGGGAGCGTGTGCAGGGTCAGTGTGGTGGTGGTGGGGACAGGGGTGGGTACCCAGGTGGGGGAAGGGGTGCCTGCTAAAACTCTGTTCGGTTGATTCTCACCGACTTCATATACCTCCACCCCGACCTGCCACCATGTTCCTTCAACGGCCAGAATTCAGATGGACTGTCAGCCAGGCCCTCTGGTGTCTGCGCCTCTGCCTCTTTTTGCCCCTTTTACTTTGTTTCTCCAGGAGTGGACCTCTTCTCAGCCTCACTTTTTCTTCCTTCCTCTTCTTACTTTTCAGAGCCAGGGGCACCCAGGCTCACCGGCAGACCTGGGTCCAGAAAGTGCCAGCCCATGGCTCTCCAGATCCCACGGCAGCTTCTCCCCTCCTGCCTGCAAACTGCACTCTTCCCGCTGGTCAGGGAAGTTGGCAGCCTGTCAGGGGCCAGCTCCGGGGAGAAGGAGCTCCAAGTGCAGGTGTTCCTGGTCAAGTCAACCAGGCACTCCAGGGCCTGTCTGCTCAGGTCAATGGCCACTTCTCTGGTACTTGCTCCTGAAGCCCTTTTTGTGGTGACAGTCAGATGGGAAAATTACCCAGAGAAATGCTTCTTCCGGTGAGGGACAGAAGAGTCTCCATCATGTCCCCTCCCAAACTAGTCTTCACATATTTCCCATGTCAGTTGGGGATGGCTGGCCCAGCCCACACATACACAATTCTGACCTTTCCCATGCATTTGTCCAATACCAGAAAGAAAGGTCAAGGTCATCACAGATAATGTCTGCAGTCCAAGGCCCATGCTGAGAAAAGAATCTAACAGAATTCTCTTTTTATGCTTGGAATCTGGGACCACACCACCCACCTCAGGATCTGCCTTAATAGAAGGTTTGTGGGTGTTCCTGGCATGGGCTTGAATTTTAAAATCCTACTGATTTGCATCTTTTACAGCACCCTAGGTGGGAGGTGGTGAGGGGAGGAAGACAGAGTCCGTGGGTGCCAGGAGAATAAAAAAGGCACATAGGAATCTGCACTGAGCTGAGCTCCAGGTTTTGATTTGCATCATCTCCTGCCAAGGTCTGGAGCCCCTGGTCCCCAGGAAGAGGAAGGGGAGAGGCTGAAGTCACCCAGCTCCCCATTAGCTTTCATTTGGCCCTTTGTCTGAGCAGCTTCAGCCTTTGACTCTCTTGGAGAGGAAGCCAACTGCCTGGCCTGGGGCCCAGAATGACACTCAGATGGGAGTTCTGCACCCTCCCCACCATCCCCATGGGGCTCCACCCCCTCCCCTGTGCCAGTCTGCCCAGAGAGGAGACAGTAGAGTGACAGGCAGAGTTATTAGAGTCTTGTTCACTTCCCGACACCTCAGCCTAGTGCTTAGGTTGCTGAGCCAAAGTTCAGTGCCTCAGTTTCCCCAATAGGAGTGAAAGAGAAAGCAGAGCTGAGTTCGCCCAGGCTCAGCCCTTTGGCTCTTGTAAGGGCTATGGGGAGTGAATGCAATGCAGCTTGGTTGTGGCTGGGATAGGAAGGTGTTGGCTTGTTTATCCCCCAGGTCTGCAGTGGGGCGGGAAAGGTGTGCAGTCAGTTTATGTCATGAGTTTGAGGGTGTGAGTGCGTGTTCATCTCAGCTAGAATCTTCCCTGCCACCCAGGAGGACTGGCTTTACACTGTGTGGCCATAAATGGCACTTGTGGAATATCAGTCAAGTTCGACATTTATTCCACAAAATTCCTTTCCAGAAGCATTCGTCTTGCAGACCCTGTGGGTTAAACCTGCTAGAAAAGGGAACACTAACAGGCTATGAAACGGTCTCTGTCCAGGGTATTCTGTGCTCCCTTCCTTCATCCTGGCCCTGTCCTTGGCCCAGAAAATCTAGACAAGAAGAGTCTGTTCCTGAAAACCAAAGTAGCAGAATTTCCCAATTTCTTGAAGCAGAATATTTGCACTGTAATGACTGAGCACTGGGGGCAAGAGGCTGAGGGTTTGGGGATCCTGGCTCAATTTGGTTAATGTCTAGAGAACTGGCCCCTTGGCCCTGCCTGGAAAGGGCCTGGAGGGGATCGGGTTTCAGGGATGAAATGTGGCAGGAGAGTAGCAGCAGCTGACACACTTCTTCATTAGGATGAGGGGCTTGGGGCTGCAACTGCTCAGCAGGGAGCACATCTCTCCCTGCTCCAGCCACCAAAGAGGGGCCCTGCCTGGAACACAAGGCCGTGGGACCAGCTGTTCCTCACACACTGCTCCCCTGAGGGCTTCTAACAAAGGGGTAGACACGGCACACGGCGGAAGCAGATGTAAGATGCTCACAGGGCGTTCCTCATGACTTCAGATCAGTATAGAGCAAACAAAGTGCATACAGGCTGAGTGGTGGGGGCTCACAAAGTACAGCCAGGCTGGGAAGGCTTCCTGGAGGAGGAGGAGCTTGATGGAGTCCAACTCTTGAAGGTCATCCTAGGACAACATGGTATTCCTAGAAGGTAATTATCTAGCCGCTAGTGGCCACAAGTTCAGGAGGTTCTGGCCTCTGGATGAGGACCAGGCCCTAAAGGCAAAGCGAGGAGGCGAAAAGATGGCGATAGAGGAGATACAGCAAGAACAGCTTTCAGCTCTTGGGACAAAAGATCAAGTTTCCTGAGGCAGATAAAAGCTTTTGCAAAGGCTCTCTCAATGCAGTGTCTCTTAATGTTTAGAGCTGGGGCAAAGAGGAGTTTGAACTAGACAAAGCGGGGTGATCAGTGGGAAGAGCTCTGGACTGAACTCAAATCCTGGCTCTGTGTGACCCTGGCAGATTACTTAACCCTCTCTGTGCCTTGGTTTTCTCATCTGTAAAATGGGGTTTTAAGAATACCAACTTCATACAGTTGAGAAGATTAAATGACAATATGGGTAAAGTGCCCCCTCCCCCACAGTATGTCTTTAGCATGTAACAGTGCCTGGTGTGTGTCAGGCAGCTGGCTAACTCCTGATGGCGGACTGATCAGATTGGTGTGCACGAGTAATTCATTCCCAGAAACATTTACTGAGTCTGTAGTATGTTTGATGCACTTCACCAAACACCAGTACTACGGTTATAAATATAAACCACACATCCCGCCTTCAGGGAACTCACAGTTTAATAAGAGATATTAACATTTTTTATATGACAGGCATGTAAAGTGTTATGTCATTTAATTGCCAAAGCAACACTAAGAAGCTGTACTTCCATTATTCCTGTTTAATAAATGAGACATGGGAAGGTTACGTGACTTGGCCAAGGTCATAGAGCTGCTAAGTGGTGGAGCTAGGATTCAAGTCCAGCCAGTCCGAGTGCGGGACTCAGCCTTAGCCAGTGCCCGAATGCAAGCCTCTAGCACAGGTGGAGAAACGGGCTTGTGAGAGGCACCGTGCAGGGCTCCGAAGGGAGAGGTGACCTGCAGCTGGGGGTCAGGGGAAACTTCGTGGGACAGGTGGCCTTTGGGCTAGACCTTGAGAGTTAATAGGGATGTGAACAGAAGAAAAACGGATTTCCAGGCAGATAATGAAACATGAGCAAAAGGCACAGACGCGCGAGTTATGAGGATGTTCAAAGACTGTCTGCAGACATGTTTGAAGACTCACTTGAGTTTGGCTAGAACACAGGGTATGTGCCGAGAAATAGTGGGCAACAGGGCTGAAGGGGTTGCTGAGTGCAGACTGTGGGCCTTGAATGGCATGCTGTAGAGTCGCCTTTCCTGTGTGCATATAGGACAGGGTGATCCGAGGCCCGCCCAGGATCCAGAAGGTATGGGGAGGAGGTGGGGGAGAGGAAGTTGAGTCAGAGGATGAGCTGGAAGGCTGTTAGAAGAGTCCACGTAGGAGTGTATGAAAGCCTGAACTAGGAAGGAGAAAAGGAAGGTAACTTCTTGAGGTCCCTGGATGCACAAGGCACTTGCTGGGCTGGGTGGACAGGAGCTGAGGCTGGTCGGGGAGAAGGGCTTGGTGAGGCGAAGAGGCCGGCTAAGGCGGCCAGCTGGAGCCTGTGTCTGTCTGTCTGCCTCCTGCCGGAGCACATGGTCCCCGGAGATGGTTCCGTCGGGAGAGTGGGCTCATCCATTTCTCACTTCCTCTTTTCTTTCCTGTCCTCCCTCTCTGGCTCTTGGCTAAGTTTCTACTTTACCTTCCTGTGGAGCGGTCTAGCCAAGAGCAGGGGCTGTGAAGGTCCCATTCACAGGGCTAGAGAATGGGCTGCTTGGCAAAAGCAGGGCTTTTCCCATTTCCGGCCCGAA